CCTCTCCTTGAAAAGCAAAAGAAAAACTCCCTCATTGGTACACAATGCCCCCCCCCCGCACCTCCCCAAATGAACCTATTTTTTATCTTAACCTGTTCTCCAATCTCAAAGTCACGTAGTTCAAATCTACCAGCTGCTCCACGGGAGATGGAGGCAGTCTCCTCTTGTGGGATTTGCTGTCTCTGAAAACGTGCTGGATGGTCAGTTATGGGTTGGTTCCAACTCAACTGCACACAACAGCAACAATGTATAGCTTGTAATCAAACAAAATATTAACATTTGTGAAATGCACTTCTATTTTCCCACTTAATACAAAATTTCTTGAATTCAGAATTCATTTTTATTTTGTTTTGCTTAACACCTGCCATCAATTGCTGTTTGCTTTAGAACACCTATTTGCAAGTTTGAGTTAGAAATGCATTTATGTTGAGGGATTTTTTTAAAAAATTGTATTTGTCAGAGCAGTATTATTCAGCTAGCATTGTCCACTAATAGCCATCTTTCTTTTTTTTTACAAATGAAATGTAATAATGTCCCCAATCCTAACAGATTCATAACTGACCTTGTCAGGTGAGGGATAACTATGATTCAGGATACACAGATAACCATGGAAAGCCATTCTCAGCAAGAGGGCCTCTGCAGAAAAGGTTAGGAAAGAAAAAGTCATGTGGCTAATCAGCTTGCTTTTGCCAGCAGATGTCACAACAGCCTGCAGAAAAGGGCTGCTTTGTGAGTCTGGGAGAACAGGTAATCTGCGTTGAAAATAACATTCACCTCTCCTTCAAAATGCCAACCTCCTTTTGGCTCATTTTCCTGAACTAGAAATATGAGCAGTTTGTGTGCAACCTTGCATAGTTCTGGAACGTGTAACTTGATCGTGAATCAAATGATTTCGTAATCCTTATTATAATATACGTCTTCTAAATGAAAAGCAAACAGACAACCTTTCTGAGGAGTTTTAAGGACTTCAAGATGTATGTCACTGAGAACATGTTGGTATGTGTGTTTGTTTCACTTAAGGTAAAGTGTTGAGAAGTATTCCTTTCTAAGAAATTTTCTATTTCTAAGACTATGTTTATGAGTCCTATTTTTCAAATTACTATAAAGTGAAAAGTAATATCTGTATTCTCTGAGCTGATGTTTCAGAATCATATTTTTTCCAAAATATTATAAAGTGAGAATTATTCATTTTATGCTTTTGGTGGTCTAATGGGTAGGAAATTGCCCTACCAACCCAAGGGCACTCGGTTTGAATCCACCAGTTGCTCTCCATAAAAAGATGGGTAGGGCAATATCCTTCCCTAGCCCCCACCTCCTTGTACTTTACAATCTCTGAAAACCCACTGGAAGGTCAGCTATGAGTCATCTCCGCCTCAAGAGCGCATAATAACATTGTTTTATCATCCGTTTCCCCTTCACATTGAAGCTGAATATTTTAAAACAAAGTATTCTTTTGCTACCCAAGTCAAATATTGTTAAGACATTCACGACTTCCATGATTTCCACTTCAGTATTTAATGTTTTTGTATTTGCAAAATTTCTCTTTTTTGAATTGAAATTATTGATGGTGCCCAATATATTGTTGTCACTAGACAACTCTGATCTGTAATTCATTTTAATTCAATTCCTGTTGTTGCATGCTATCACACGGATTCCAACCCATAATGATCCTATATGACAGAGCAGGTAGAAATGCTCCATAGAGGTTCCTAAGATGTAGTCTTTGCAGGTAGCAGATCACCACATTTTTTTCTACCATAGAGCAGCTTGTGAGTTTGAATTGCCAAAATTTTGGTTAGCAGTTTCACACTTGACCATTTGTGCTTCCACTGCCTTTTAGTTCAGATTCTAATAACCAATAGAAAATGTCTACAATAAGTCACTATTGTTTCCATGCTGTTTCTAAACTATTTTCTTCTCCAGGACTCTGGGGTAGTGAAGAGTGTTCCGTTTCTATGCCTAGTATTTGTAAGAGGAAAATATTCGGGGTCATAGAGAAAGAGAAAGATATACCTAAACTGCACGGAACGTGTCCCAAAGGATGGCTTTATTTTAACTATAAGGTAAATTTGTTTTAAAAAGTTGGCTCTGTTAATCTGTAAAAGGAAGGGTGAAAGTGCTAATTATATCTTTTTTGTAAAATTATAATGAGGGTTTATTTCTCCATTGATTAATATTTGCTGGGCCTCCTCCTTTTTCCCAGATAGTATTCTAGATTCTAGAGTGGGATAGATAGACAATTAATAAAGGGGGAAAGATATTTATAGCATGGGAAAAAATACTTCTGTTCTCTTTTGCAGATGCTAATTTGAAAATCATTTTTTAAAATGGGAATAACCTTTAAAAATAATGAATTATCAATAGGATCTGAAATTTTTTTCCTCCCAATTTCTAAGAGATCTAGCAGGTTTTTTAGTATCTAAACAAACCTCATAGAATAAAAGGTTTTATTAGAAACAGCCTTAACACCACTGGCATTTATATATTCAGTTTTCACTCCTTGGGACAGACTTTCATTGTGATATGTGAATTTTTCATAGAGGTAGGTGTGTGTGTGTGTGTGTGTGTGAGAGAGAGAGAGAGAGAGAGAGAGAGACAGAGACAAAGACAGAGAAGGAGAGAGAGAGAGAGAGAATATTCTCCTGAGCCTCATAAACGGCCGCTTCCTTGTAAAGTTGAATAAAAAGATTGCCGCAAGGAATATTACAAACCAGATTTACTATTTCTGATACTGCCTTCAATTAAGGCCAAGCTTTTCTTCCCTTTCCTGTGTTTTATAATAAAATCACTTTTATTGGCCTTGGGTGGAAGTAATGAAAATGCATCCCAATTAAAATAACTTAATTCTTCATTCTTTTGATAATTAAAAACGCAAATTTTATCATAATCTGATATGCTGATAGGAAATTTCTCTTCCACAGTGGACAAACAATTTTCAAAGGAAGCCTCTGGTGATGTTGGGAAGACATCCTCTCTTTCTATGTGCTCTTGCTCCCGTTGTCATGGCTGTGAAATGGGGCCATTTGGATTTTACTCACATTTGTGAAACAACCACTACATTTTTTAGCAGTCATGTTCCTGACTGATTTCATAGAGTCTTTCAATTTTATAAAAAAATGCATATTCAGAATTATTATCCCCATCTTATATATGCAAATACAGAGGTTAATAAAACTGTATGGCTTTTCAGAAGCTTTATAGTGAATACTTTAGGGTGCATAGGAACCAAACTCAGATTTTATGACCCTATTTGTGGATCATATTTCCTAGACTTACCCCTGCCCTGTAGGTGCCACTTCATAGAAGAGTTTAAGAATTGCCACATCCAATCAACCCCAATCTAATCAGCCCAACAGCACTGTGAAACTTTTATAGACAAATAAAGTTCTCTAAAGGATAGAAGGAGAATTGATGCCTTTGAGCTGTGGTGCTGGAGAAGAGTATTGAGAGTACCATGGACTGCTAGGAAAACAGATTCATCCTGGAAAGGGTTAAACCGGGTCGATCCTTGGAGGCAAGGATTCTGAGGTTCCGTCTAACATGCTTTGGACATGTTGTGAGGCGAGACCGTTCCTTGGAGAAGGATGTCATGCTTGGGAGGGTGGAAGGACAGCGCAGGAGGGGAAGGTCCTCTATGAGGTGGATTGATTCAATGACTGGGGTAATTGGGATGGGAGTGTCAGAGACAGTGCGATTGGCACAGGACAGGGCAGATGTTAGGGCTGTTGTACATAGGGTCGCTATGAGTCGCAAGCAACTCGACAGCACATAACAACAGCAACAACAACAAAACTTCAATGTTGACTTAACTCATTGCTATTGAGTCCGAAATGACTCATAGCTGACTCTCCAAGGAGGAGACGGCCCATTGTTCTCCAGCTGAGCCACTGGAGAATTTGAACCTCCAGAGAGGCACCGTCTTTGGTTTAGTTGTGCAGTTCCCTATGGACTACACCACTGGAGCTCTCAAATTTTAATACAGTGTTGTTGCTTGTTGCTGTTGCTGTTGTTTTTAGGTGCCATCAAGTTAACAGTAATTCATAGTAACCCCATGAACAACCGATTGGAAACTGAACCTATCCTGTACCATCCTCACCACCTCTGAGATGCTCCAGCACATTGGTACAGTCACTGTGTCAGTCGTTTTATTGAGGGTCTTCTTTGTCTGACCCTCCACCTTCCCCAGCCCAATGTCATTTTCCAACAACTTGCATTTCCTGACAATATGCCCAATGTATATGAGAAGAAGTTTCACCATCTTTGCCTCCAAGGAACACTCTAGCTGCACTTTTTGCAGGACAGACTTGTTTGTTCTTTTGGCAATTCATGGTATATTCAGTACTTTTCTCCAACACCACAATTTAAAGGCACTCTTCTGCCATCGTTACTCATTATTCCACTTTCAGATGAATCTGATGCAAGAGAAAATACCATGGCTTGCATCAGGCACATCTTAGCCTTTAAACTGATGTGCTTGGTATTTAAAACTTTGGATATGTCTTTGATGGTCAGTTTTCCCAATGCAGCACATCTTTTGATTTCCTGATGGCTGTTATCGTGGTTATTGATTGTGGATCCAAGTTAAGATAAAATCATTGACAACTTTAATATTTTCTCCTTCTATCATGGTGTTGTCTTTTGGTCTAGTAATAAGGAATTTTGTTTTCTTCATGTTGAGGTGTAATCTGTACTGAAAAGATGTACTCTTTGACCTTTTACAAGTACATCAAGTTCTCTTCACTTTCTGCAAGTAAGTTCATATCATCTGTGTGACACAGGTTGCTGATGAGTCCTCCTCCAAGTCTTTATATACTGTAGCTTTCCTAATAGTACTGTTTTACACTCTTTAAAAACAGATACACACATATTTACATAAAGAGAGGCTTACTAGGTACTTCCTATTTTCTCAAACTGCTAAATCATTGTACTAGTTGTAAATTGTTTCTACATTTCAGTAGGAGCAACGTGTAACTAATGTCATTCAGTAGGGCACTGAGTATTAGTAAATCTTTTTTAAAAAATATAATAGATCCTTGTTTTTTCAGTGAAAGTTTGCATGCCATATCAGGTTCTCCTTTAATGGTTTTTATACACTTTTTTTCCATGGCGTTGGTTATGATGATTACAATGTGTTAACCATCTCACTTCTTCCTTTCTGTTTGTTCTGTTCTCATTAATCTAGCTTCCCTTCCCCTCTTTGCCTTTCTAGTCTTGCTTTTGGGTAGATATTGACCGTTTAGTATTATGTTTAATTATTTAAGGAAGTATATCATTGCTTATTTTATAAGCAAATAGATTATTTGGATGAATAGTACCCTTCAAAAAATAGCTTCAATTACAATTTCAAAGAGTATCTTGAGTCTAATAATCTTGGAGGTTCTTCTAGCCATTATTGGTCCAGTAAGTACATCTGGCCTTTTTTAGGAATTTGAGTTTTGTTCTACATTTTTCTCCTGTTTTGTTTAGAACCTTCTATTTTTGTCCTTTGTCAGAAGGATCTGCTACAGGTAACAGGCACAATCTTGTTCTTCATGTTCCCAGTTTAAGAAGTTGTGGACTATTACTCACAGCTTAATTCCAATTCTGTGTTCCTACTAAGTAAAGAGATGAAATATGTATATACTTCAGATAGAGTGACAGTGAGCCTAGTGAGGCAAAGTTAAGGCATAAGATAAAACAAATGCTTCTCTTAAAGGTAATAGAAAGGAGACTGAGTTAGGCACAAACACTTGCATGAGGGTAGACACTAGAAAGATTAAAGCAAACTTGTATAACTCATAACTGTGAGTTGGGTGGGCAAATCTTTATTGATAACCAATAAATTGATCAGTAGTTCTCTATCTTGGTCACATATTTAGTATCACCTAGGGAATATCCCATGGAAGGTCACAATGATTGGAACTGAACTAATATTGTGCATGGAGTCCAGGCATGAGTAATATCTAAAAGCCTCCTTGGTAATTGTAATGTGGAGTCCAGCAACTTATCAGTAATAGTTCTATAACCTTGTCTTCAGATTCAGAGGGTTTGATTACTATGGGTGTGACCACAGCAGCCTTCATTGAATAATGACAATTTACAGGACACAATTTTAGAATCATCTTTCATGTCTCCTCATTCAAGTTGCCTCCCTCCACTTTGATAGCTAAAATTCCACAATTAGAGTTACTCTTTTGGTTTACATTTTCCTTTATTTTTTTTTTCAAGGCAAATACTTCTGAGATTGCCTTGTTGTAATCTATATGCTGAATTATTAAATAAACTGATAATAAGAGAAGTGATAGCTGAGAGAACCATAGAGTCCATAGAGATGGTTTCACAAATAACAATACAAAAGAAAATTTGGTGCTAACAATGAAGACATTAGTCACTTCACAATTCTAAATGAATTTTCATATGTTATGTCCCATTAAATGTCACTACTTTTCAGTCAGTTTCTAATTTTTGTTGCTTATTTGTTTGTGTTTAAAAAAACCACAAAAAAACAAAACCCAACAACAACACAACTTAGCTTATTGGCTATTCACATTTGATAAATTTGATAACTGAGAAATTAGGCATCTTTTCTCCTGTCTCATAAATTATTTTCTCCCTGTTTGGTGATAAAAAAGTTGTTTGACCAAGGATTACTCCAGGAAAAATTAGTTATCTAAGATATTTTTCACAACACACCTTCAGGAGGAAGAAAGTCTAATTATCCCAGATTAACTCTTACACTCTATTTACAATTTTTTTATTCAAGAGCATGGACAGAGTGTTAACAGCTGTTTTGCATTATTAACTTAAGGATTCACTAATACATTATTTCATACATTATATCATTTCTCCTTAAAAAAAAAAAAAAACAAAACCTCAATTAGGAACTTACTACAAATCCCAACACCATTCATTCATACGTTTCTCTTCTTTGTTGTTAGGCCCCCTTGAGTTAGTTCTGGCTCGTAGAGACCCTGTCACAACATAACAAAACCCTCCCTGATTCTGTACCATTCTCACAATCTGCTGTTCTTAGGCAACTGTTGTAATCACTGTGTTGTCTATCTCCTCAGAAGTCTTCTTCCCTTTTGCTGGCCTTCTACTTTACTTTGGACTTTAGAGATTCAGTTATGAGGAAATGCAGACATAGGCCTTTCTCTTTTGGAGCTTATAGACTGGAGGGGAAACAAAAATTATGAAAACAATCCAGAAGATATCTATCTTTTAAAATTGTGGCACTTCCTAGTAAGGAGAGTCATACATTGTCGTTGTCAGGTGTCGTCAAGACTCATAGTGAGTTCGTGAACAACAGACCTGAACCTTACCCTCTCCTGCACCATCCTCATGCTCAAGCCCATTGCTGCAAACACGATGTCAATCCATCTCGTTGAGGGTCTTCCTGTCTTTTGTGGAGTCTCTACATTTCCCACCATGAGAGCCATGTCATTCTATTAAAGTTGCATGATTCTGCAAAAGTTTGTAACCGGAAGATCACCTGAGACAGGGGGAACAATGGCTGCTAAGGCCCTGTGATGAAAGGCAATGTGACCTATTTAAGAAATTAAGGAAAACATGTTGATGTTGTTGTTGTTATGTGCCGTCAAGTCACTTGTGACTCATAGCAACCCTGTGTACAACAGCCCTAACCTCTGCCCTGTCCTGTGCCAATCGCACTGTCTCTGACACACCCATCCTGATTACTCTGGTCACTGAATCAATCCACCTCATAGAGGGCCTTCCCCTCCTGCACTGTCCCTCCACCCTCCCAAGCATGATGTCCTTCTCCAAGGACCGGTCTCTCCTACAACATGTCCAAAGTATGTTAGACGGAGCCTCAGAATCCTTGCCTCCAAGGAGCCACCCAGTTTAACCCTTTCCAGGACAAATCTGTTTGTTTTCCCAGCAGTCCATGATACTCTCAATGCTCTTCTCTAGCACCAAAGCTCCAAGGCATCAATTCTCCTTCTATCCTCCTTGGTCATCAAGGGAAGCATAAAGGCCTAAAATGGTGAGAATTGATATTAAAGAGATAGACAGGGGCTAGGTCATATTATTTCTGGGCTTTATCCTAACTGCAGTGAAAAGTCCTTGAAAAAGTAGCATCATGAGGAATGGATTTTGTTTGCCATGCCAAGGATAGCTTGGAGAAGAATAGTTAGGATACTGCAAAAGTACTGCAGCTTGGGCCAGGATGGTGGTGGCAGGACAGTGATACCAGGGCATGGGACAGGAGATGATATTTTTAAAAAATGAATGTGTCCTATTGGTAGGTTAAGAAGAGCGATGGAGCAGGAAGACAAGGATGACTCCTCAGTTTCTTGTTTACATAAATGCATAGCTAACAGCGCTATTCAATATCAGTTGAGCAGAAGGGAGGGAGAGAGTTATGAATTCCATATTCAAATGTTGAATATGAGATATCTTTGAGAAAAAAAGAATTTTATATCAAAAACTCATTTAGAATATAGTCTCAAAACTATAAAACCTCCTTAAATCACAGTAATAATCAGATGCATTGAACCTGATCACATTTTGCAAATTATTCTTGTTGTATGCTGTCAAGTCACCTATGCACAGTGGCTCTGAACCTGCCCTAGCCTGAGCCAATCTCATTGACTCCAACACACCTACCCTCAGTACCACAGTCACTGAGTCAATTCATCTCATCCAGGGTCTTGCCCTCCTGCCCTGTCCCTCTATCCTTCCAAGCATGATGTCCCTCTTGGCCACTTGCCCAAAGTATGTGAGATGGAGCTTCAAAATCCTTGCCTCCAAGGAGCAACTCAGTTTCATCCTCTCCAGGACAGACCTGTTTCTCTCTTGGCAATCCATGGTTTGTTCAGTACTCTTCTCCAGCATCACAACTCAAAAGCATTGATTCTTCTTCTGTCATCTTTAGACATTTGTCCAGCTCTCGGATGCATAGCAAGTTAGTCAAGTTAATTGTGAAGACTTTAGACTTAAGGACATTGTACTCTGGCTTACATCACTTTAATTACTGATAATACCATTTTTAGTATGTTAATAAATATGTTATATTTTTCAAATGCAATGAAGCTATAATAATGAGAGTGCAGTCCTTTAGTGAAACCTGTAAATCTTGGCTGAGGTGGGGTGTGTGTGTGTGTGTATGTGTGTGTGTGTGTGTGTGTGTGTGTTGGAAAGTGTGGGTGTTTTTATAAAAAGGTTTCTTGAGCTAACTAAACCAATGAGGCCCGTTGGTATTTTTTAATAGTTGATTAGTGTGACTATCTGGACACAGGGTGAATTCACATTAAATGATAAGATTTCCTAATAATTAATGTGTGCCACTCTTTGGAATTTGTAATTAGAAGAAAGAGGAAAAAAGAAAAGAAACAGATAAAAGGAAAGTTGTTATAAAATTAAACTCCTTTAAACCAAATTCTGTTTCTTTGTGAAGTGTGTACAGTGTAAAAGGAACAAAAAAAAATTATTACTTCCAAAGAGGGAAGGGAAACCCCTGAAGGTCTTTAAACTAAAGAGTGACTTCGTAAGGACTGAGTTTTGAAAACATCACCTTGGTACTGCTGACATTGTAGGCCAGATAATACTGGCTGTGAGAAATATCCACACTTTTTTTCATTTGATACTAATAATAATAACCCTCTCTCTCCTCAGTTTTTAAAACAAAAAATGTCTCCAGACATTGTCTGCCGTGTTGAGAGAGAGGGAAAATCCTCAAGTCTCTATCTTTTTCATAAAGTCCCTCCTAACTCCCTGGAACCTTGCCTCCTCCATTATTATCTGTCTCTCTTATCTGTTGTAACATCATGTTTCAATTTCACTGAGCTTTAAGAGCTGTTGTCATTGAGTTGACTCCAACCCAAGGCAGCCACATGCTGTTAAACAGAACTAATTTCCACAGGGTTATCAATGACTGGAGTTTTCAGAAATAGAGCACTAACGCTTTCTCCTGAGTCATTTTTGGGTGACCTGCAATCTGTCCTTTTTCAGTTAGCAGCCAGTCACATTAACTGTACATCCCGGGGAACCACACTGAACTTTAAGTGGTGATGGAAGTCAAGTAGCACCATTCCATTTCTCACCACTTAGCAAAAAAATTCCTTGCATACCACAGCATAATTCTTTCATGAATAACAACCGGCTTGTCATTGCCAAATCCCACCAGCCCTTTTCTTTTCTCCCTGACACTGTTGTTTTGGGGCTTTTCTCCAAAGCCTCCCTTGGTTTCTCTTTCCTATTTCCTTGGGCCTGTCTTTGTCTGCTTTTCCTCCCACTGGCTTCATGGTCTCTTTTCTGGCTCCTTGATTGATTTCTTGATCAAATGTCTGGTTCCAAGTATTTCATGCATTTCAGTACCTGATGTAGTTTGGTTCTTCAGTATTCCTCCCTCACGTAAATTAAGGAAATATATTTGTGAATTAAATACATCTAAACTGTTCATTTCCACCCCTAGAATAGTTTAGAAATTTGCCACTGTAAAGTGTGCCATCCATCTAGCTCCTTTTTAGGTAGAAATACTATCTTTAATGAGCAAAAAATAATGTTCTGAAAATCTGACTCCACCACACATCTGCTTCAGCTAGATGCAAATGAATGCATGTCATTGACTCACCCCAAAAGTTATTGTTCCAGGTGACAGAAAATGGATTATTCCTGTCTAATAAAATGCCAAAGGATTTTTCAGGATAACCTTCAGAGTATCTTTGGGATATTTTCATTGTACTTAGAAAAATGTAAAGCTGAACACTTTGTTTTAATATTCTTAACAGTGTATTCTGTTGAAAATACCCAAAGATCCAAGTCATCAGATGAACTGGACAGCTGCTCAAAAGTTCTGTGCTAAAGAAGGGGGAACACTGGTGTCCATTGAAGATGAAGTCGAGCAAGGTAGGGGACTCAAGTTTCACTTAGGTCAAAACACCATTTCTATACAAGCTATTTTAAAAAGTATATTCCAAAGAGTTAACATTTCTAAATCAACACTTAAAATATTAATATTTCTGATACACACAAGTTTTCCATTTGTCTTACAAGTTTTTTAAAGAAATATATAAATAGGTATCATGAAATCTCTGAAAGTTAGCAAACCACATTGTCAATGAACTTGGGATTTTTAGAGTCTCTTATATCGCCAGTAAGAATAAAAGGTATGCAGATACATTTATCCTTCTGTATTTCTAGCTACCCAAAATATTCTGAGATATTGTCCAGTATGATAGTAGTGTACAGTTTTAGCTGAGCCTCCAGTGGGTTTTCAGAGGCAGTAAATCACACTGGAGGAGACTGCCCACTCATCTTTCTTCTATGGAGCAGTTGGTGGATTTGAACCACACACCTTTGGGTTGACAGTGTAATTCCTTACCACTAAGCCACCAGAGTTTCTTACTAAATAATATAAATGCTAGCTTAAATAATGTCAACTTAAACAATGAATAAAACACTGGATATTGTTTTGTTTTAATTATATAATAAATTCCCAGGCTTAGCCAGCTAATTTCTGCCAATTTAAATCAAATGAAAGTGAAAGAGACTACATTACCTTGACTAGAACAAAATAATATATTCCAGCAATTGATTTGTCATTAAGTTTTCTTGTCATTTAAATGTAATCACAGTTAGATACAGAGTTCAATGATGATTATCCAAATGGTTTATATGATGTTAAATTTGGTAATGTATTCCTATTTTTCAGCTTTCATTACTATGAATCTTTTTGGCCAGACTACTAATGTGTGGATAGGATTGCAAAATGGTGATTTTGACAAATGGTTAAATGGAAAACCTGTAGTATATTCTAATTGGTCTCCATTTGATGTAGTAAATGTAAGTTTTAAGATTCATTTTCCATAGAACTGATTTTAGCATAAGATTCTCTCCAAAACTTGTTCACAAGCTTTATAGGCATAATTTGTCTGTTGTTAATGCATTAATTTTTAATAGTGTAATTTCATATAATTTTCTTATGTTCCATAAGTGTAATTACTTTACTCATCACAATAATTATTTATTTTGTCGATTCTGAAATGAGTTGTGAACAAGCTTATTAAATTCAAATAAATGAATAGTAATTGTGCTTTAATCAAGAAAATTGTGTCCTGAATAAAAATTTCAGAGATTGGAGTGGGGGGTTTTGGTAACATGCCTGTATTCTTTTAAAGATTGCTCATCAAAATACCACAGGAGTTCAAAACCACATTCCTCTCTGTGCCTTGCTGTCAAGTAATCCTAATTTTCATTTCTCTGGAAAATGGTATTTTGAAGACTGTGGAAAAGAAGGTTATGGGTTTGTTTGTGAAAAAATGCAGGGTAAGAAATATTTTTTGGTATGACTTTGATTTCCATGGCTCATATGTCTCTTCCATATTTGTTTTACAAAGCTATATTACAGTTTCATTGCTACGAGTGCCAGTGAATTTCACACGTGCTTTTAGTAATTGAATCCTTCACTATCCCAGGCTTATGCCCTATAATGGAGTTCTTTGTACTGTAGATGCCACATGGGTTGTGACCAAGGTTATACATTCATTTTAGCTCAGCTTCCAAAAGAACAAACATGAATGTCTTGGACAAGGTGTAGCCAAAGTGCTCCTTGGAGGCAAGAATGAGAAAGCTTCAACTCTTCTACTTTGGACAAGTTACTAGGAGAGTCTATTCCTTGGGAAAGGATATCATGCTTCAAAGGGTGGAGGGAGTTAAAGAGAGGAAGATCCCTGTTGAGATAGATTGACAAGATGACGGCAGCAATGGGTTCCAGTGTGTCAGAAATTGTGAGGAGTGGACAGGGATCATATCTGCTCTTCATAGGGTCACTATGAGTCAGACTCGACTCAATGGCACCTAACAACAACAACAAAATACTTTATTACTTTGTTTTGAGATTAGTGTATGTTCACGTAATTTAAGGGGGTGGGGCATTGAAAAAAAACTGTTGAAAAGATTTGGGAAATAAACCAATTCATGCTTCCTTCTTTCTTGGAACTTTAAAGATAACTTCTATGCCTAAATGTGACATGCAACATTTCCAGAGTTGTGGCCAGAACTACAAGGGCTTCTGTATGAAACAGCAAAGGTGTACTATTACAGAGAGTTGGCCTTTAGTGATAACAGTTAAAATGAGGTCAATGGTTGACATCTCTTGTGCTTTCCCTGAGTACTTGTTGTTGTTATGTCCTGTGGAGTCATAATTTACTCACAGCTGACCCTCCAGTGGGTTTTCAGAGGCCATGAATCTCATGGGGAGAGATTGCCCATCTTTCTCCTGCAGAGAAGCTGGTGGATTTGAACCATGTGCCTTTGAGTTGGCAGCACAATTTACCACTAAGTGACCAGAGCTCCCTTACTAGGTACTAGACTCCCCATACTATTACCCTGAGAGGCTGTAGTTGGTGGCTGGAGCTATAGAACCCTGAGTAGCCTTTCACAAATATACTTATTTGGAATATGGCTCAAACTTCTTTTTTTTCTCTATAATTATATTTTATTAATTTTCATAAACATTTACAGAGATTTTGGGTTTCCATTCATTCACCGCTGCACCATTCTCTCTACCCTCCTCCAAGTTTGTTCTTGTCCAAATGCCACAGTGCTTGTCAAAGCCAGTTCTGATTAATCTTCTTTGTCAGTGTGTCCTTTGCCATTCCCTATCACTCCTCCCTGAGAGAGACTTCACCTTGAGTCATAAGGAAAAGGGGATGGCGTATTCTCTTAGCTACTTCCTGCTGAAAAGGGACGCTGTGGGTTTCAGGGTGAAGATCTTCTCTCACTACTCTAAAGGGCCCCTTTGGCAGTAGGAAACACATAGACTATTATGGAGATTGATTTTGGAATTTAGATGCACTCTTATTGATTGTGCTTGGCCATACATGTTCATATCCTTGAAGATGTATCATGGGGGTGTTGCAACCTAGAAGACATGCTATACACGTGTGAGTTTTTAATGTTATCCAGAATCAACTGATACTTTGAAATGTAGGTCCAGGGAAGCTCAGCTTAATGTCTAACTTTGGTTAGCAACCGAGTGCTTAACCACTGTGCCACCAGGGTTCCTTCTCAGGGTTCACTGTTAGCATTTAAATACAATAATGCTTAGGCACTAAAAATGACATTACACCACTTATAGCAGGCCACCATGTCAAGAGCAAAGGCTGTTAGGAAAAGAAATAGCAATCTACCATTTATTTGCACACCTATGATGTACCTGACCCTGGACTTTGGTTTTATAAACCATAAAATTGGGTTTATGCCATAAAATCCTCAATACCATTGTTAATTTTATGTGCCATTGAGTCACCTTCAACTCATAGGAACCTTAGGTGCAATAGCTCTGTAGCCTGCCCTATCCTAAACCAGTCCCACTGACTCTGACACACCTACTCCCATTACACCACTTTAAAGTCTCCCCATTTTTACAGATGAGAACTTGAGCTTTTGAAATAAACAAGTAACACACTAAAGGTCTCTTGGTCAAAAGCAATGATTTTATGTTTGATCTTGATGTTTATCTCTTTTTAAAACCTACTCTCTGATCACCTTCTGACGTTGATATTTTTGTAAGTAACAATCAGTATGTGTGCTCTTTTAAAGAAAGTACAAAGTAATGGTGATCTAGATACTGGAATGTCCACCTTAACAATTAACAATAGGTGTTGTTGTTGCATTGATTCTTAGTCGTGGATCAGTGTGGATCATGTGATAGAAGTTTGTGCTAACTAATGGCCTTCTCCTTTCTCATTCAGCTTCTCCAAATGATTTCTGTTCTCATTCTTTTTGTAGATACTTCTGGACCTGCTGTAAATGCATCTGCTATGTATCCAATTCCTAGTACTTTAGAATATGGAAACAGGACTTACAAAATAATTAATGCAAATATGACTTGGTATACAGCAATGAAGACCTGCCTGATTCATGGAGCAGAACTAGTCAGCATTACAGACCAGTATCATCAGTCCTTTCTCACAGTTATCCTCAACCGACTGGGACATGCCCACTGGATCGGTCTGTTCACTGCAGATGTAGGTTCTCTCAATCTCTTAGCAAATCATTATACATTGAAGTTTCACATTTACCTCCTAAATGATGTTTTTGTCATATACCATCAAGTCAGAACCAACTCATAGCTGACCAGCCAGTGAGTTTTCAAAAACTGTATATCACACGGGAGCAAACTGCTCATTTCATCCCACAGAGCAGCTGGTAGATTCAAACCTTTTGCCTTTGGATTGGCAGTGAAACTCTCCTGACTACTGAATTTAGTACTGAGAAATATTGCCAGAAATTGCAATAAATGTGATTTAAACGATGAGTTTATACAGTTACCATCCCAGAATACTGAACTGTGCTCATGCAAAACCTATGCATAGACCAAGAAGCTATTGTGCACACAGAGAAAGAAAATGCTGCATGGTTTAAAATTCAGAAGAGTGTGCATCATGGTTGTGTGAGTTCTCCATACCTATTTAATCTGTATGCTGAGCAAATCATTCAAGAAGCTAGACTGTATGAAGATGAATGTGGTATCAGAATCTGAGGAAAACTCATCCACAACCTGTGTTATGCAGGTGACACTACTTTGCTTGCTGAAAGTGAGGAGGATTTGAAGTGCTTGCTGCAGAAGATCAATGGTTACAGCCTTCAGGATGAATTATATCTCAACATCAAGAAAACAAAACCCCTCACCTGACCACTGGGTCAATGGGCAACATCATGATAGATAGAGAAAAGATTGAAATGATCAATTATTTAATCTCGCTTAGATCCGTGATCAACACCCAGCAGCAGTCAGATCAGGAAACACATTGCATTGGGAAAGTGTACAGTCAGGGATTTCTCCAAATTCCTGAGAAGTAATAATGTCCATGAAGACTAAGGTGCACCTGATTTAGGCCATGGTCTTTTTTAATCACTTGCTATGCATCTGAGAACTGGACCACAAATAAGGATGACAGAAAAAGAATTGATGCCTTTAAACTGTGGTGTTAGATAAGAGAGCTGAAGAGGACTGCCAGAAGAACGGATATATCTTGGAGAAAGTGCAGCCAGATATATCTGGACAGGTGGAGAAGTGACGAAAGAGAGGAAGACCTTCAACCGGATAGACTGATGCAGTGACTGCAGAAATGGGCTCAAATGTGCCAGAGATGATGAGGATGGCTCAGAATAGGAAGGGTTCAGATCTGTTGTTCATAGGGTCGATATGAGGCTGTACTCAACTCAAGAACACCTACCAACAACAACAACATTGTAAGCAACCAAAGTCTACAAAATAGGGTTGTGGACATTTTTTAGGAAGCTCTGGTGGCCAAGGGATAAGAAGTTGTGCTGCAACCCCAAAGGCATATGATTTACTAGCTTTGTGGGGGAAAGGGTGAGCAGTCTTGGCCAATGCAATTTACCGCCTCAGGCCCCCGCTGGAGGGGCAGCTATGAGTTTGTTCCAACTCAGTACGTAACAACATTATATAGGTATAATTTTAAACCCATAGCTTCTTGATACTTACTTATCCATTACAACTTTCCATGTCAGCACATAAAAATCTAATCCATTCCTTGTAATAGGGGCATATAAAGATGTACCACAATTTAGTAAAACATTCTCCTGTAAATAAATATTTGGGCTCTTTCTAGTTTTTCACTTATAGACACAACAAGCATTTTTGTACAAGTGGGATAAACTTCGAGAAGTAAAACTGCTAAACATACTTCAAATCATACTAACAGTACCAAATTGCTCTCCAAGAGTTTACATCATTGTATATACCAGTAACAGTGTATGGTAATATCTGGTTTCCCCACGTTTGTCAACATTGGATACTATGCAAATATTAATCCTTGCCAGTGAGAAAGGCAAAATAATGGTATTTCATGGTTGTTTTAACATGTATTCTTTACTTCTAAAGAATATGGCATACTTTTACATGCTATCAAGTATTTTTATGTTTTTTCTAGAACTTGTTATTTGAGTTTTTTGGCCCATTTCCTGCAATACATGACAGTATTTATGTGTATATTTACCTTTTTCCTATTCATCTTAAATCAGTCAAAAAACTTGCTATTTTCTCAGTTTCAATTTACTTTTTCTGTTTTTGGATTACAAAATATTTTCATTTTATATAGTAAATTTTGCTTGATGGTTTCTGAGATTTGTATTGGACTTGAATATACAGATTAAACCAAATTTTCTTTAATTTTTTATGTTATTAAACCTTTGATCAATCTGCAATTTATTTTTTTCATATGAAGAGCATGCTATTCCTGAGCTTCATTAATATTACCTACTGGGGGGAAAATGCTGACTGAATGATTTCTGGGGTGTAATTCTTTTTATCAAGCCTCTTCCATAATTTCCCTCAAAAGATCCGTAGAAATACAAATCCACATATGATGTGTGAGATACTCAGACAGCACTGAGTAATGTTGCCAGCAGTCTTCCCAAGTAAACAGTGGCTCAATTTCTCTCCACAGAATGGTCTTAATTTTGATTGGTCTGATGGGACCAAGTCCACTTTCACTTATTGGAAGGATGAGGAGTCAGCCTTCCTGGGTGACTGTGTTTTTGCTGACACCAGTGGACGTTGGAGCAGCACAGCCTGCAGCTCATTTCTGCAAGGAGCCATTTGTTATGTGCCCACCGGTGAGTTCCATTCCATTCAACTCAAGATATGCTTAACTTGTGAGCTACCATGTGCAAGGCACTGTGCTAGGCGGGTGATAAGTTACGGAATGAGTAATATGACGTGCTTGCCCTCAAGACGATAAATAACCAATTAGGGCTACAAAATGATATCAAAGAGGTAGTGAGTACTCTAGGAGTTAGAAAGAAAAAACATGGAACCTATATCTAATTGGAGAATACAGAAAGGCTTTCTGAACTATGAAAAATGGATAGGATGCAAGCAATAGATGATGGGCATGGAGAAGCATTTTAAACAAAAAAGTCTGAAAAAATAGCATGGAAGGGACAAAGAAATGGGCATATTTAGGGGAAAGCTGGTCCTGAGATTTTGTTGTATTACTGGTTGTAAGTGTGATAGAGGTAGGAAATGAAGTTAGGAAAATGGGTTAAGAGCATATGTGGAAGGCCTCAAATACTGAACCAGCGACTATGTATAAATTAAAATCAAGAACTATAATAATTATTATATATGATAGCTGATATTGTATTGCATTATTATATATTAATAGCTGATATTGGATATGCATGCCCTGAAATTTGCATAATTTCACATTTGCTCATTCACATTTAAAGTCCATATGGCCCAACCTTTTTATTTTCATGATAAAACTTAACCACATACACACTGTGAATCTCTAAATATCAAATAAAGTAATGGAGCATTTTCAAAATATGAAAAAAACCCAAACAACTTAACCACAAAATATTAAATATTACCCAAATTTGGCCTATGAAACTAGGTATTAATATGTCCCGTGATGAATAGGAAAAGAGTATTCCTGTCAGAAATACTAAAACTCAGTCTTAATTTTGTAATCACTTACCTCAAGCCCTTTCTTTCTAAGTATGATGGCAAAAAACTCATAATATGTTGGATCTTGGATTTGAGAGAATGTAATATAATGTTTATCTCAATAAACTAATACAGCCACCACTCTGAAATCACAACTGATTTTTGTTCATAGAGACAAGACCATCTGACCGCCCAGAGCTATGCTCAGAGACATCGATACCCTGGGTAAAATTTAAAAGTAACTGCTACAGTTTTTCTACAGTCCTCAACAGTACAAGTTTTGAGGCTGCTCATGAATTTTGCAAAAAGAAAGGTAATTCTTTTGTAATGGTAACATTGTTTCGGTATGCTCTTTCTTGACATTTCAGTAAAGAAGGTGGTTTTCTTCATTTCTCTGATTTTTTGGTGACTCTCAGCACAATAAATACAATTGGAAAAAGGGATACTATTGAATTTGCTTGTTTGGGAGACAAGCAAAAAATAATCTAATGTATGAAAATTAGCCCAGTGTGGAATTTTAAAACCTAAAATGTCTCAGAATACTGCACTTTCACAAGTTCTTTCTAAATATATTTGAATTATAAATTTGTAAATTCTCCTAAATATTCTAACTTTTAACTGTAAGTATAATCTTATACTCTCAATACATGTAGTTTTACTAAAAAAAACCAAAAAAAAACACCACTGCTATACAATGAGACATGTCAGTTTTCAAAACCTGGACTTTAAAGATTATAATATGAGGAGATGTTTTTAAAACTGGATTTATGTTTAAAATGTTTAAAACCTAAATCTTTCTTTTCTGTTTGTCTCCTTTACAGGATCCAATCTTTTAACAATCAAAGATGAAACTGAAAATGCATTTCTCCTGGAGGAGCTTTTTGCTTTTCGTTTTTCTGTCCAGATGGTCTGGTTGAATGCTCGGTTTGATAGCAGCAGTAAGTAGTTTGGGCTGAGGAGAAGAGAGGGCATGAATAAATGCACAGTTTTTAAGGCTGCTTATAATGATGCCTATGAACCAGAAATCTCTCCTTAGATACAATATCTGCTTGGAAAAAACCCAGCAGATTCCTAGACTTTCTTTCCAGGATAATATTGCTAACATTTTTTATACTTTCTGATCCTTTGAAATAACTCTAAATAACACACACACCCCCAAAAGGGGAAAAAAACCAACCCATCTCAAAATAACGTTAGGCTTCATACTTGCTTTCATGTTGTGAAATGGCCTGGAATTTGTGTTCACAGAATCTATGACAGCATAAGAAAACCATATTTCCTGAAATTCCCCCAAGTTCCTAAATGCGATAAAAGCACAATGTTGTTGTTGTTGTTGTTGTTGTTATGTGCCATTGAGTTGCCTGCTACCCATAGTGACCCTACGCACAGCAGCTCTGAAGCCTGCCTGACCTGAGCCTAATTCTGACACACCAACCCCCAGCGCCCTAGTTACTGTATCAATTCATCTCATCTGGTTCGTCTTGTCCTGCACTGTCCCTCTACACTTCTGAGCATGATGTCCTTTTTCCAAGGATTATTCCCTCCTGCCCAAAGTACGTGAGACTGAGCTTCAGTATCTGAGCCTGCAAGGAAGAAACCTGGTTTCACCCTTTCCAAGACAGACCTATTTTTTTTCTTGGTGGTCTATGATATGTTCAAGACTCTTCTCCAGCACAACTCAAAGGCATCAATTCTTCTATCATGCTTAGTCATTGCCCCGTTCTCTGATGCATAGAAAGTAACTGGAAAGACCATGGACTTGATCAGGCGCACCTTAGTCTCTAGACTGACATTGTTGCTTCTCAGTGCTCTTGAGAGGTACATGACAGCAGATTTACTTAATGCAATTCATCTTTTGATTTCCTAACTGGTGGTGCCAAAAATAATGATTGTGTTGTCAAGCAAGCTCTAACTGTTAACAACCTCAATCTCTTCATCATAGTGCTGCCAATTGGCCCAGTGTTGAGAATCTTTGTCTTCTTGATGTTAAGCTTCAGTCCATATTGAGTCTACAGTCCTTAAACTTGTGTAGCAACTGCTTCAGGTCCTCCTTAGTTTGAGCACACAAGGTTATATCATCTGCATAACAAATTGTTGATCAATCTTCCTCCAATCCTGATGCTACATTACTCTTTATAAAGACCGGCCTCTTGAAGGATCTGTTCTACAGAGGGATTAAGAAGGTATGGAGAGAGGACACATCCCTGACACACTCCCTTCCTGATTTTGAACCACACCATATTTCCCTGCTCTGTTCTGAGGACAGCTTCCTGGTCCAAGTATAGGTTTTGCATAAGCACAATCAAGTGTTCTGGGATTCCCATTCTTCTCAAGGTTAATCACTATTTGTTGTGATCCACACAGTCAATGCCTTTGCGTAGTCAGTGAAACACAGATAGATATCCCTTATTGTTAATAATGTCTCTAGTGCCACAACCTCTTCTAAACCAAAATGGATGTCATAAGAGACTCTGAATATTGCATTACAGTTCTGAGAAGCCAAAGCAAAGGGAAGAAAT